CTCCTCGTCCGCGTTTCGTTTGGGTTGCCATTCCGAGGCTTGACCTCAGTTGCTCTTACAAATCTTTGTCTTTATACAAAATTAGCTACTGCACTAACTCTATTCAACCTTTCTGTTCTAGCTATTTTAACTTAATTTCTTCTAATTAAGATTTTTCATATGAAAACTTTATTTTCAATGTATATAATTTTGTTTTAATTTGTAAAGAACATTAATTAAAATTGCAAACTGATTTATTTTCATGCAAAAACAAACGATATTTAAAATGTTTATATGTAGCTCAAATTGCGTCATTTTATGGGAGCGTTAAAACGTCACCCGCGCCACGCTACGCTATATAATTAAAAAAACTATAAATAACACTGCTATGAGGACGATAATCTGACAATAACTAACTTATTCAGAGTTATCATTAAAATCGGAATCATCATACATTTATAACATTAATAAAAGACTTATCTTACGTTGTGTACCATATTTTCTATAATTAAATATAAATGTGGTGAGGGCGCCACAGTCTCTTTTAATATTGCAACACTTTACATCTACGTCAATACATCAAACGAACTAATGTCATTTAAAAGTAAAATCCGGTGTTTTGTACTTATCCTACGTTAATTGCTTTTTTTTCGTGGCAGCTTAAACTTTTTGCAGGTTAATAAAATTCAATTAACCGTATGATATAAATTGTTGCCATTACAAGAAATTAGTTTCATAGGTTTTCCGCAAAATGGCGGAGGTTGCTCTTTTTCTAGGCACCCTACAACAGAGTAAAGAGTGAAAGAGATGTTCTATAATATTATCCAATATGTATGTATGTATTACAATATTATATTGTATGCTATACCCTTGTTCAATCACACCACCCAGCGCAGCAATGCCGCACACCAAAGTATAATCATTTAACAACTTTGTATTTTTATTAGCTTCGTATTTATATTGCAAGAGCTTAATGCATCTAATAATTTATTCGTTTCTTGTGATTTACCGGCCATTACTGTTATGTTAAAGTTTTAACTTATACCAGGGAGTTATAAAATCTAGGTTTTTATTTTTAATCATATTTGATGGTAGTTTGAAATAAGTTTTAGAGTGCGTGTAATTGATAACGAAATATGACATTGTTGTGAACAAAACATAGAATTTAATAATTAACTCAGCATTATAATATTGATTAATAGTAGATGGATGGATAGATGGTCTGATGTTTGATTTAAGGTATCTCCAGAACGGCTAGACGGATATCGATGAAATTTGGCATACCTATAGAACATAGTCTGGGAGAACACTTACAACTAATAGTTAATAAGTTTTTTTTTAATTGCGTGGACGGAATCGCAGGTGACAGCTAGTTAAATATAAACATTAAATAATAATCCATTCTTAGCGCTACTGTTAAGTCTTATTGAGCTAAACATTGCCGACTTCACAAAGGTTAATTAGTGTTTAAAAAGGCTTTGTTAACCTATAATACTAGATAGGAATTTCAATCAGCTTTTGATATTTTATTAAACCTTAAATATTTTTAATGGATATCTTGAAATAATAAAATACTGTGACACAAGTCTTATTTTGCTAAGAGAAATCCAAAAAGTATAGGTAATAATTAGTTACTTTTATCCAGTGTTATATCTCATAAGATATGGTTTGGTTTATGATATTTATATCTTTTTTTTTATTTTGAAATATTAGCAGATTTTTTTGTGAATTTACTAATATTTCTTTTATCATTAAAACTAAGCTCTAGGCTTGTACTAGGATATGGTTTACGACAATAGTCGAATGGCGGGATTCGAACCCCCGACCTCGTGATAGGAAATCCGTACCCTTAACTATTTTATTTATTTATATCACAAGGTGGCAAACGAGCGAGCGGCCACCTGAAATCGCTGAAATAGCGAAGTGACCGTTGCCCATAGACATACGCAATTGCATATGCGTTGCCTACCTTTAATCGACGGAGGAGAGGATACACAGAAAGAAAATATTTTCCCTTTCCATGCATCCTCTCATCCGGAAAGTCCACTTTCACTTCCCATCCTTTCCTTATAAGAAATATGACGGGAAGGGAAAGAGGACTAATTTTGGCCTCCGGGACGCACACTCATCAGAAGAAACGCGAAATTGCTTCCACTTCACGCCTGTCTTCGAACCATTAGGCTATTGACGCTTATTAATACAAATATAGTATTTTAATATTAGTACATAGGGAACATTTGTAGGCAGGTGAACGAGTGCTCGCAAACTATACATTGTCAGTCGCAGGGCTCGTTCTTTTCGCTTTATGGCCAATTATTTATGCCTTGCCCGTTTGGTCATTTTGTAATCCGAGCGTAATAAAACTCAATGGTTATTATGTCTGTTCCATTATCTTACTGGTTGTGAATGTATTTTTGCCATATCATAAAACATGCCTCAATCAATTAGTACGATTACAATACAAATGTTGTTTTTCGTTCGATTTTCGATTGAATAAATAAAACTTAAATATTATTGAGAGAGTTGAGAACGTTTAAGAAAATGAAATGGTCTTTTAAATTTGCGGTTATGATTGCCTATATCCCAACCTCCTTTAAACACATAAGTGATCTAATTGGGGTCCCGATTCTATCGATTCTAATTCGATATAATGGTCGGTAATTTGATGCGGTCATTTATCGAGGACAGTCGATATTCGATCAATAAATCGACGGGAATCGATATCATAATGGTTCACAATCTATCGTTTTATTTCTTTAAATGCTTAATGAGCGGATTCACATAATAATAGTTATAATGGTAATCGAGCAACGGTGTTTCTTTTTTCAACTCGAGAGAGATCATTCGATCGATCGCCGATTAAATGCCATTTCGTTTACTTGTACTTTTTGCCAACGTGTTATTAAACTTAAGCATTTTAAAACAAAACATTTAATGCAGATGTTAAGAATTTAAATAAGTTTACTTCGGAATTCATGCCTTTTTAAATTATTTGTTTAAATAATACCAAATACATAGGAATAATAATTACTTACTACGCTGGCGCTTCGACCCAAAGTGGGTCTTGGCCTCCGACACAAGAGATCGCCAATAATAATTAGTTTTAATAATTTCTAGTAACTTATTTAATCTATTTTTCGTACTATAACTACAATGTTATCTAAAATATCATCAAATAAAATAAAATTCTAATTTATATAATACATCAAATGAAAATTTGAAATACGATTAAAAAGAAATTCAACAACAGTCATAGCTACTTGTGAGAAAGAGAGAGTAGGGTATGACCGCAGTTTATGAGATTTAACACGCATCCAGTTAATTAGTGAATGCGGTTGACCAAGGCGCGTGTGAGCGCGTGTGGGCGGGTGTGGGCGCAAGGATTTGTAAATATTAATATATACTATTGTGGTTTATATCAAATAAATTTTCAGTATTTACAATTAGAAAACTATCCTTATCGATTATAAAAAACTATAACTATAAAACACTTAAATAAAAAAAAAACTGTAATTTGTTTGTCATTGCATAATTAAACTTCAAGTAAAAACTTAAATACGTAAACATTTAATTATTGAATATTTCTGAAAGTACTCTTTTTATTTGAAAAAAAAAACTTTTGTTTCAACAATCAAACTATTAACTCCTAAACTTTAGTTTTAACTGAATTCGAAACATAAATAGAACTACCTGTAAATGTGTGTACATTAAACACAAAATCCACTCACCACAAATGTAAATGCTAACCGGTGTATGGCTCAGAAGATAACCGAAGCGGTTAACTAAGTAAATAAACCCGGTCAATTAATTCAGGGTCCATTGGTCATGATGTTTGTTTGTTTGTAACTTAGTTTAATCACCGAGTATTGCTTAGTGTGAGTGAAGGGTGGCATTAAACATTCATATTATATTCATTTATCATTGATTTTTCTAAATATAACAAATATGGGTACTAATTATTAAAAATTTCTCTGAAGTTTCTTTTAGTTCCACATTTATGTAGCTTATTCGCTGTCGCCCACGACTCTGCCCTCATAAAAACCTTAACAGTAGCCTATGTGATCTACCAGGCTATGTTCTACATCTGTGCCTAACTTCACCCGTATCCGTTGAGCTCTGCAGATACCTCCTAACAAACATCCATCCATCCAAACATTCGCATTTATAATATTAGTAAAACTGGTATATGACTTTTCTATCTAATGATTTAATTACGTGGATACATTTTTAATTCTAAAAGATAACACAAAGTATTGTTTGGAAAATGATTTAATACACTTTTCGTAATCAATGCAGTACACCTTGTAAGTTATTATGCCGAGTTGATTTATAGGATTAACATTATGCGGGTGTTTGTCGCTATAACCTGTGTAGCTAATAGCATAACAAAGCTAAGCGTGTATTGAATCGTCAGCAATCCCGAAATCCTTTGTGAAACGCCGGCGACAATGGAAAAGGGTATTTCCTTTAACGGCCCGACCGTTAATTCGTGTATAATTCGACACCTCGTTAATTGTTTCCGACGCCCGGTCCGTTTGGTGACCTCGCCGGTGGGGGCTCGCGGACGTCCAAAGACCACCCGAAAACATCCAAAAACACCCCCGAAAAGGGTGTGCCATTTTAAGAATATTTGTCCAACACCCCCTATGTTTACACGGGCTGTTTGTGGTGCCCAGAAAACAATAGTCTCAAATTCATTGCTCATTTTATTATTGTTGATTCGCCGTTTACGGTCGATTCGATTATTGGAACGGGTAATTAAATGATAATACCCGCCATTAATTGGATTTTACCTCGGCAGGTACGCTTCGCTGTATCGTTAGAGTGCCGCGCTATTTATTTTGACAAATTTCGGGGTATTTATGAACAAAGTCCGCTTTAGATCGATAGTCTAATTTGTGTATTCAGGAGAAATGTTTTTACATAGAATTTAACTAACTAAAATTACAAGATTATGTTATAGCAGTGTTAATTGCTAACGTCCAATTGGATTGAAGAATTAAGACTATGTTGTTCGACAGATATGGCTCGAATGGAGAAGTCCCCACTGCTAGCCAACGGGTACAACGCGCCGCCGACGCACCTTGGGCCGATGGGCTTCATGCACCAACACGCGCTCATGTCGCCTATGCACCCCGGCGTACCGCGCCCTGACGGCTCCATCATCAAGGGCCAGCCAATGCACAATATGGAAGCCCTGGCAAGGTAAATATAAATACTACAAATTACATAATATTGAAAACGCCTATAGAACAAATTTAACGACAGGGAAGATTCCCTTGAAGATTTGTAACTATAACTTATCATGTAGATAATCTTATCCCAATCCCAACATTCAAATATTGTTATGATTCATGTCCTAGCTCAAGCCGAGATCTTAATTGGAATGGTTTACGAAATACTAGTAATATATATTAAAAAAAAAACATATTTGGTGAATAGTTTCTTTCTGTTGGTGTTTCGTATGATTACAGTGGAAATTTTTGGAAAAAGAGGAATGACATAGAGATAATAAAGTTTTGCAATACTCCGTTTTTTTCTTCGGTTATATGTATGTATGTTTTTATGGTAAACTAAGTGGTATAAGTTCTTGATAGTATTATGTTTCGTATAAGTCTATAAAAATGTAATTACATTGCATTAAGTGAAATTGATATTATATCCTCATTAGAATTGTAAAATATTTTGAAAAGAAGATTATTTTTGGGATATAAGAGAATTGGTGTTATACCAATATATTTGAAATTTAATATTTTTCTTGTAAGTTATGACGCTAATTAGAAATATTTATTTACCTCTATGAAAACGTATCTTTTGACGACATTTCGTATTGACTTCTTCGGATAAACGTATTGGATAACAAAAACACGTTTATTCTAATAAGACCTTATATTAAGAATGACGTAGACACGTCTAAAATATTATGGATTCCATCAATATCACCTCTTACTTAGGTGGCCAAATTAACAGTACGAAGCAAAAGTACGTTAAGTAGCAATCTTACGCAGGTATTCTGTGAGGGCGTGGGCCTTCACTGGTCGTGCAGACCCATCCGATCTACAGTTGCAGCTTGGCCATAACACGTAAGAATTAATAACTTAAAGAATTTGTATATCAAGAAGTATTTTCAAAACTAGAAATATCTAAGCTCTTGTTAAGTAACCTAAAGTTTGCAATATCCTCACTAGATGGCGTTATATTCTATATCAGTTAAAATTAGAGTTAACTTTTAAAATGCGCGTTACTAATAAAAGTAAATATAATATATCATATGTTACTGGGTAAATAATGAGAAATTTTAAAACAAGACAACGTATTTACAATTGCGAATGTCTATGGGCAGCGGTCGCTTCGCTATTTCGGCGAATTCGGGTGGCTGCTTGCGCGTGCGTTACCCACCTAATAATTAAATAAAGATCCCTTGTGCGTAACATTGGCTATATAATATCATTTACCATCATAGATGAATACAGATAAATATATCAACCAAAATACGTCGTCGTTGTCCAAAAACGACTATAACAAAATGTCTTATACGGCATAAAAATATAATAAGTTAATTGACTTGTCGTGCATCGTGTGTCTAATAAAATAAAATCTTTAAAGGCAATAAAACTAACCTGGAACGGATATTGGTAAAGTCATGAAAAGCGGCGGTCGCGCGGGGCCCGATTGTTTGGGCATCGTTTTGTCCGGCACGACGCCCGGTCAATACATGGCGATCTATTTCAGTTTTTATGATTGATAAACCAACGGAAACTATACGTATTTTTATGTATATTGTTACGTTAATTAAATGTCGACAAACATAAAATATGAGGTATTGTTGACGTTACGGTTTTGAAGGTACCATGAGGCAGACGTTACAGCTAAAGGTTGGTGGCATGGACGACAAAGTAGGAACAGATCTGAGAAATAGTCATTTTTTGTTTTTCATAATAAATCATCAAAAAAATAATAATGTACAGATTATGGTATTGTTTTATTCTTTTGTAACTGAAAAAAAAAACAAATACAAAGTAGGAATTAGGCAGTCGACAGCCGTCACAGTTCAAGGTTGAAACAATTAAAGGTGGAAATCGGCAATCAAGCCACAAATCGGCTTACCCGCCGCGTTTACCGAAAGAAACCCTCTAGCGGGTCAATAGCTGCGGCCGCAGGTTAAATGTCTAAGCACGCTAAGCCAATAAGAAAAGTACAAACACTGAGTGCCCTCACTTCCGCCGGAAGACCCACAATGCTCACTTGACTTACCCCACTGTCTTACTGGCCCTATGTGATTCAATATCCCATCGGATATCGCCTGTATTACACATATTAGCTAACGTTCTTACACCCGTGACGTCATCATCCCTTACTACTTATAAAATATATGAAACAAACCTTAAATACCAGAAAAAAATAACAACATAAATGTATTAGGCATCGTATTAGATTCAGAACAGTTACGTAATAAAATACTTTCTAACTATACATTTCTTGTCAAAGAAACGAAAGAGAGTTTATTGAAAAACAAAGAGGCAAAGTAATTGAGAAACAATTCCAAGCATCACGCATGAGTTGGCACGACACAAATATAAGCGATTGTTTTAAAAACATAATTAATTTCATCGGCCCCTCGCCTCGCCCAGCCTAACGGAACATTTAATATTGAGTGCTCATAATTATTCCTTTAACATTTAAACCCCTTCATTTGATAACTTTTTATTTTGCGAATACTTTGGAACGCTTTGTAGCAACTCTGGTCTCTGCAATCTTGTAACAATAAAAGTATTCTAACCCTCGCACTGCTGCTTTCATTCATCTCTTCTCATTTTTTTTATTTTATGTCTTCCTCATTTTTCTTATTTTATTTCCTTTGTCAACAGATCTGGTATTTGGGAGAATTGTAGAGCGGCTTATGAGGACATCGTAAAACATCTCGAAAGGTAAGGGAAAAAATAATCTTACCAAAAATTTAATTAGATGCCCGCCATCATAAAACAGACTTAAATACTATAAAAAAACATAAAATTATGGAAAATTAAATAGTAATAGATGTACACGATATAGAAAATCGAAAATGACATCTAGAAATAATTTACTTTCATTTTCTTATCTTTTTTTTGTTTATTCATCTCGCTACTTCTACTTACGTATTTTTTATTCTACTTTAGAAACTTGTTTAAATATTAGCTAACAAACTTTTGATAATGGATTAAATGTAACGCACTACCTACTTAAACCTACACTAATAAGTTGGGTTATTTTTTGCATCGTAAGAAGTTTTTTTAACAACATTTAGTTTGACCACTAGTTTCTTCTTTTCCTTAGTTTTGATGAGTTGTCCCACAAGTACTGTCTATTCTAGAGAATTTGAAGTGAAAAGGTCCATTAAAATTTAAACTCTTAAAATGTGTAAAAAAAAAGAGAAAAAAGAACGTTCTTAATTTAAACGACGAGCAGATATCAATGGGTGTGTGAAATTAGAGGAGACAATTAGATCCGTGGATCGGGTGTATTTTTAACAAATGACCGGTCGGTGGCGGAGTCCCGGCCTGCCGGCGGGGCGCGAACAATTCATCAAACTCATTCGGGGGCTAATCTCGATGCGAGGAAAAAGCGGCTCTCATGTAAATTGGGCCGATTGGAGGGCCGGCGTAGGGGGGGAGGGGAAACCGCTTTTCTTTTCTTGTTTAATGGATGGTGATTGATCGGCGCGGTCTGAACGATACTCGATTCTGACTTCGCTTTAAGTACTTTGAATGGGAATTGGTACATGGACGATTTAATTTGTTGAAATTGAAAGTATGCAAACACTCAAATACATCGCTGCACTGCTTTTAAAATATATTAAGAACTGACATGATATTACGTAATGAAAAGTAACAAACATAACAATAATTTTTAGAATCTGCGGAATTAGATGGGTCCCAAATAAATCGACAATCGTTTCAGAAAAAAAAACTTAGAATAACAAAAGTATACTTTAAGTAAACTTGGTTTCTAAATTTTAAACTAACGAGTATAACGCCACGTTATACTCAATTCCGAAATTATTGATGATTTTGCATTATCATCGGATCTTTACTAAATAATCAAACAATTGGAACATCCTGAAATCAATAGTTTTACGTATACATAGAATCATAAAGGTAATCCATTAATCCATTTAAAAAGAATAAAAAGCCTGCCCGGACGCTTTACATAAAAACAATTGATCGGTAAATCATAATTTTTCAAGTTCCATTCAGACGTGTGACGCGAGGCTCCCCCAATGTTCAGCGCAAAAATAAAGCCTATTAATTGAGTGTAGAAACGTATACATAAACCGTATCCGTTTATCCGAGATCCGAGTGTCGGATAGAATTACAGTCGGACATCGGGCCGTGTACCAATGTGTCACTGTCAGCCGACCATCGCCCCGCCACTCGCGCGGGATTAGGCGCTTTTAAAAGAAATAACCTAGTAATTTTACAACAAAAACCGAACCCTCTTTAGCTTTAAATACATGCTAAGAAATTACTTTTAGAAATTAAATGTAATGTGATAAAAAGTAAAGTCGCTTACAGTGAATATAATCTTAAATGGCAACCACCTTTCAAAACGCTTCTTGGTCAATTTTTAGGCACATTATTATATTAAAAAAGTCTAACTTTAGAATGTAGTAATAAGGGAATTTATGTAGTTTAACATCCTTGATTTAATTTCTAGCCGTAAAATAAAACAATTGATAAATGGTGCCTTACAAAGCAACTAAAGTTTATAAGTAAGTGATGACATATTCTTTGTAGTTAACATAATAATAAAATCATTAGATCGAAGAAGAAATCTTTTTATTTAAATGGTTTGTGGTATCTTGATTGTCTCGTATTAGGTCGGTGCGCGCATGCGCCGCGCCGGCGACCGCTCTCCAATGCTAAGTCCAATTAATTGACAGGATTATCTCTGATTTAATATAATTTGTTGGTGTTTGCTTTGTTTTTGTCTCATGTCTGCTCATCCGTGTTATTATAATGATATTTTGTTTGTTGCGCGAACCCTTTAAGATGTTATTTTAATAATGTCAACATTGTAGAGACTTTTTATCGTGTTGCATTTCTTGCTGGTTTTGTTCGGTTTTTTTTTTAAACTTGAATTGCTCATTCAACTTCAAGCGAACTGAATGAGTCACATAGTTAGCGCTTTTTTTTTAAAACTTATTTATAGTTTATGTTGATTATTTTAGTTCGTCGATCTGAACACAAATAAAAACATAAAATATTTTCAGAATTATTATTACTTGAATATTCGCGGTACATGAAATTACATGAAATTTTTCACACTTTTAATGTGATTTAAGTAAGGAATAGTTTGAATTGACAATTTTTACGTTTAAATTTAATTCAATTCAGGATTTACGGTCTCTGCTTACTTAATAGTGACAAATGTCAGGAAATCTATGAGGAGCTGCTTTACCCGTCAACTATAAGGCTCTCAATCCTAGCAGTTAATCAGTCGTTGAGTCAATTAGCAGTCAACAAATCGTCGGGCTCTATGAGCCCGTTCGCCCGGATTCGAGTTCAGTTCGAATTAGCGTCGCTTAATCGCGACCCGCCGCCGGGCACATCGGGTCCGCCGGGCTGCCGGGCCGGGGACTGATCCGGCACACATCGCTCTGACATCCCTCGTTATTCATGCTACCCCTCGTTCCAAGATAACTGTTTGTTGACCCTCTGTTATACTCTGATTTAAAGTTGCCGATTTTAAACACTAGATGTCAGTAGGCAGTAGTAGGTAGTAGTGAGCTTGCATCATCAAATTAATATGTAATAATATCGTCGGGAGAGGGTGGTACGCAGAAATAGTTAGACCTCAACGTAGTTTCAGAGATATCTTTAGAAAACTCATCTCAAGCTATTAAAATTGACACATTCTATTTCGTTCCATATTCAAATATTAAATACATAAAAAACTACACTAATTGGTTAATTAGGTATTAAAAGGTTATTTGTGGCTTGGCAATGAATGCGCGGTATCAAAACGTAAACCACAACAAAGTACAGACCACGTAAAAATGTGATCAGTATTGAAATATCAAATCCGTTTGCAAACATTTGGCACGGTGATTGGTAGTGTCGAGACACTAGCGTGATTGGATCCTCCACCATTAATTTGGACGAAGATCAAACGGAGACCGAGGGTGATATTTATCAAAGATATTGCGAATTATTTTAATCAAATCAAATTCCCTTCGTTGTAAACAAATGCTTTTGATTAATGAGACGCGCGACAGAGCTCGCAGACGTTGTGATAAAACACCCGCGCACCCAAAATTAATGGTCATAAAATGAACTCTTGTATCCGAGAGATAAAGATGCTGAATGCCTCCAATCTTCCATGATTTTTCTTCGCCTTGTATTATGAAAGATGATTCCTTAGATCGCATCTGGTGACTTTGTACATTTATTTGGAGACCGGAAATCGGGCGGGAGTAATTTCGCGCCTTTAGTGTTTCGACGGGCGTAGATATTTAGATTGTCATGGCGACGAGTCATTAATAAAGTTAGAATTTTGATTTTCAGTAGGCTAATATGCAAAGGGCGTCGCGCAAAGGGTGCACAGTCACGGCACGGCAGTCGGCCCTCCGCATACCTCCCGAGTTTGTCGCCGATGCGGTCGTTCTGGCATTTTATGTAGCTCTTTGTACTTTGCCCTTTTACCGTAACTATTGGGTTAGTTCTGTCGGTGAACCGAACTATTCGTTTACAGTACCTTTGATATGCACACGCACTATATTTTTGTCAATGAAAGCATTGCACAGATTCTTCAAACGAGCAGTAGCCTTTGTAATAACAGTACCAACATGTTAGAATATTTTGCTTGTATTTATTTCTAGCAATCCTATTACATTAATAGACAAATGAGGGATATTGTTAAATAATAGTTTATTTTTGTAAATCTCACCTCAAAGAAACTGAGCGAGCACGGCGCGTGCGGGGTGTGGGGTCGGGGGCGGGGAGCGGCTGACATTGTTACAACACAAGTTGCAGCGTCAGCTAATATTAATCTGGATCCGGCGGCTGACAGCGCAAGTCAAATTTCTCATCAAAAATAAGAATTAATGGCGAACAGCATTAATCATTAGCCGGCAAACGGCACGAGGTGTCCGTATCCCATTATTTTGCATTACTAATGATATGTACACAGCGATAAGGGAAGCTTTAGAAAAATATCTCTTATAACACCTCCCTCGATTGATTGATTTGATTCCACTCACGCGGTTAAGATAAGCCCTTAATGCCATTATTTGCCATTTCTAAAATTACAATGAACTTTTATTCTTAATGTAGTTTTTGTATACATTCTTGAGTTAGCAATTCAAATTATAATTCGTTCGTTTTTTATTCCGCTCTTTTAGTAATTAAATGTAAATGTGACGCAAATTAACGTCACTCATTTTGACTTGAAGACGATTTAAAAATACCAAAATTAACTACGACTTGTCACTGTTACGACCTATTCACGTTTTAATTTTTTTTATCGTTATATCCACATTTTAATTTGATGTAGAGTATGATTACACTATTGAGAAAGATATTATGTGCTCAAAACTCTTCGCATATCACACTTCATACTTTCATCCAAATAGTATAAATGCAAACGTTTGGATGGATGCATGGATGTTTGTTTGAAGGTATCACCAGAATAGTTGAACAGGTCTAGATAAAATTTGGCATACATGTAGAATACAATCTAGAAGAAGACATAGGATTATGTTTTTTTTTAAATGCCGCGTGGACGGAGTCGCGGGCGATAGCTATAGGAATAATATGTTTTTAAATCTAGTTGTAAGATAGATAAGATAGTTCCGGTAAGATAGTAATTCTATCTTACCGGAACTCCACTGCAACTCTTTTATTGATACGTATTGCCATCCTTTTATATATCTTTGACAAAACAGAGACAA